TTTCGCCTCCCTCGTCCCTCTCGCCTGTGTCAAGCTCCCCTGGTTGGAGGGATCATGAGATGATGATGCGAGCCTATGATTGTACATATCTTTTTCATTTTGGCCATGATCGCATGTCAAGGACGTCATCTCGCAAGGACGCCATATCGCACGACACGCTTGTCGACTTCTGAGAAAACATCTGATTTACAGCGAATGATCTCTTTAGATTTATCCTTTTTCAGGGGCGCTTTTAGGTCCGGCAAATAAGTGGACGATTATTGGGCGAATGAAGATTTTTTCCAAGCATTCGCACATATTCGCGAATGCAGATTGAGATTTTGACAAATGGGGTACCTATGTGCGGATTACCAACCAGCAAGCAGAACTGTCTTGAGCAGAAAGACAACATTTTTATAGAGCAAGCGCCTCCATCCGAGAATGCCTGCAACCGTGGTTTTCGCACATGGCTGCCGTATGTGTGTCTAGTTATCCCGCCAGCGCTTCGCTTAAGCAGGCAAACCGTCACACTTGCGCGGCGCGAGCGTTCGCAAGGGGCGGCGATGATGGCGCCCTGGGATGCTGCAAGGCCTTGCATTCGGCCGTATCATGCGTACTGGAGTTGTGATGCGTGCACCACTTCTTCGGCGCGCCGGGCGCCTGCTGCTTGGCGCGCTTCTTTGCGCATTGAGAAGCCCAGTGGCCAAATTCTCCGCATTCGTAACACTTGCTCTCAGCCTTCGCTAAGCCGCCGCGCTGTGGCGCTGCCGCTGCGTTGGCCTGAACCATTGGGGCAATACGGCCCTTCTGCGCCGGTGGTGACCGGCAGTCCCTGGCGATGTGGCCGAACTGGCCACAATTGTGGCACTTGCGGTTGTCAGCGGCCCTTTCGGCGGGGCCAGCCGACTTCGCGGCGGGGCCGCGTCCCGCGTCACTGTGTGTGCTCGGCTGAGAGGCGGAACTCCAGAGCGCTTCTGTGCAACGTTTCTTCTCCAAGCGGATTGCCACCTTGCTGATCTGTTCGACTGTTAGGTCGTCGTCACTTGTATCCTCGGCCCATACAACCCTCCTGACCTCGCTCCGAAACTGCTTCGGCTCAATTGTGTCAAGCAGCTTCTGGGCGGCCATGCCCTCTGGTCTCTGTAGGACCCTTATGAGCGTCTTCATCCTCTGAGTGAGGCTCGACATGCTCTCGTTCGTCTGCATATGGAAGCTGTTAAACTCGTTTATCCGCGCAGTGGACTTTTCTGGAAAGAGGTCCTTGATCATGGCCCAGAACTGGCCGGTCGTTCGTCATATATTTCGAGGATCGCTGGTCTTTGCGGCTTGACCGGTGCCGTCGGGCCTGCGCGCTCGGTCGTTGCTAGCGCATCATGCTTTTCTTTATTACGCTCATATTCGGCGAGCTCGCGCTCATTCATCACTCGCATTCATCACTCGCATTTATCACTCGCATTCATCACTCGAGCTCGAATGCGCGGAGGCGCGCCTCGTTCCGTTTGTCCGGATCGTCGGCCATGCGACTCTCAAGCTCACCGGCGTGATTGCGAGCCTGACCCGAGGTCAGCTCGACTAGGAAATAGAAGTACTCATTCTCATTCAGGTTCTCTGTATTAGGTCGCAGCTTTAGCTTTGACATCATCGTTTTATAGCTCTGTCGCAAATGCGACACACTCATCCCGTCTGGCCCGCCCGTAAAGCGGCCAGCACCATGCTGCGCATGCATATTATCCATGCTGTCGTCGGTTTCGACAACCCAATTCACATGATTCGAATCAAAATTGTGCAGTGCACTCGATTCGGCAGGGGGTAGCACACTAGGACTCTCAACGATATAACCACTGTCAATGTCAGCAGTATACGACTGAGTAGAACTCCGTGTATCTGACTCGACCCTACTCTCAATCTCTCTGTCTCCCTGTCGATGGGGCAAGTTTCTAAAGTTGTAACGGTGCATCAACTCGACTGACCAACCGTTTGCGCTGTCTAAGCGCTTACACTCAATTCCCCTAACTCACTAGCGTTATTGGAGCGCTTATGCTAATCCTAGGGAGCGGCACTGTCACCTGTCTCCCCCCCTGCCGGGACCTTGTCTGATCACAGGCACTTGGGCTTCGTGGTCTCGCGCGCACACCCGAGTGGAACTAAGCGACGTAGCAAGCTGGTAAGGTATGGCGGAACCTGGCGGACTCACTCAAAGAGGGTCCAACACAATCTCACAAGGCGAACTCCCTTCAAGAAGGTTTCAGCGCAAGTGTACAATTGGCGACACGCTTCCAAAGAAGGGTCAGCACATGGGCGAACTCACAACGAAGGGTTCAGCACCTGACCGCGAATCGTCCCAACGGGGTTCAACTGGTTTCAAAATTTGATGTAGTTGTTGTGAACGGTAGTCTTAGAGCTTCACAACAAGCAAGTACGGCCTCGCCCCCTGAAGTTACTTGACCACGTCAAGACCCCAGGGTTGTTCAGGTTTTCAGCGTGTGTTATTTACCGTACCCTGTTTCACAAATCCCAACGCCGGCATCAGGCGGGGGACGCCATCTAGCTTACGATGCGTTCATCTAGCAAGCAGAGCCAATTGGCTCAAAGAGACTATGTCTTCTCACCTTCTGTCACTGGCGCGCTGCAGTTACTTGCAGCTGGCAGTGTACCGTACTGGCGGCAGCTGGAGATGTACTGTACTTGCTGCAGCTGGCCTCAACCCACGATGGCGCGCGGGTCCTGGCGGCGGTCTAGTGTCGTTGGACCTGGAGCGGCAACATGGCCTGCTCCTGGGCACGCTTAAGCACACCTCCAGTCCAGGCTGGCGCGCACCATGTAGGCGCGCTGACTTACGCAGGCATGTACCTGCACATGAAGCAATACGGCAATCCGGGGCTGCCCTCTAGCCTATCTTATGTCACCCATACGCTAAGACAATGACAATTTGGCACGCTGCGCAAGCTGCAGCACTGGCAGTCCTGGCAGCCATGTAGCACCCCCAAGATCAGCTGTAATTACCCAATCACAAAAGGACCGTGGCGCTCTATCCCTCGGCGTCACCACTCCCTAAATGTGACCTCAAAAGCCTGACAAACAGTCCATATCCCTGGCTGGAATCAGCGCTTCCCCGTATGAGCAATGCAAGACAGTTTGGCTGGTAACAGTACCAAATCACCACCACTACTTAAAACCTGCGGCGCCCCAACGTCTCTGAAGGCGGCACCTCAATGCAATCCCCGTAAGCTGGAAACCCACCACTGCCACTACTCGGAAAGGCGGCAATGGCAAACTCTCAAAACCAAATAAGCAAGTAAGAAGGTGCCTGCCTCCGACCAATGTCACCTCCAAGAACAGCACTCTGCGTCTGGGCACGTCTGGCCCGCAATACTTACTGTCCCTTCTGCTCAGTGGCTGCGTATGCGTAAGCGTATGCGTCCGCGCCCCCCACGTCAAAGGGGCAATCTTCTTCCCTCTCCTTCCGGCTCCTCGTGAGCCAAGGATTCTTCTCGCAAGTCCAAGGTTGGAACTCACGACAAGGCTGTGTTGAGAAGTGCAAGGAGAGAGGTGAATGCTAAGTAGACTAAAAGGATGCAAGCAGGGCCACCATGTCAAGGCGCCAAGAGCTCCTCACGAGAGTCTACTCGCGAGAAGAATGGTCTCCTAGCGAGAGGTCTCTGCCTAATGTATGGCGTGGTCTGAGGCTAAACGTAAGACTAGCTAGCCTATCGAATCGAATACCAGCAGACTGAGATGTGACTCAAGTCGTAACTACTGTAAACATGCAATAGAGTCTGCGCTAACCGACTAAGGTAACCGCGTCTCTGCAATCAAGCTCGTAAGCTATGCAACGTCTCATAAGCTATGCGATAACACGCAAATCATGCAATACGCTACGCAACCGATGCTCTGCTATGCCGATGTCATACAGCGTGACATTAGTTTTTGTTTGACACATATGCGTGATCGAACAAGCCCGTTAGTACCCTGCTTCAAAACCGTGTCGCGACCACACGGCACTTGTCAAGCTTTGTCACTGCAAGCTTCAGACCATGAACTCTCTCTTGTTCAGGTGGATAAGCTCTTTGAGACCAAGGGACTCGATTACTACATCGACCGGGAGAGAGCGAAGCACCATGCCAAGCAGCAGGCCTACCAGCATTATTGAATCAGCAAAACGGACAGGGCGGATACTGAGGATGGTACTGACGTTGAGCTGAGACAATTTACTGAGGTAGCCAATTGAAGCTGATTGTTTACTATATACCAAGGATTGAAGCCTATGAATGTACAAGAGCGCAAGCAGAGGACGAGATAGAGTCCAGCTTTTGATATCGTGCGTAGATTGAGATAAGCCGTTCATGTTTGTTTCTGAGTGAGTTGATTATCATTATCATGATGGATTTGAGAAACTGCCATAGTTTTGTAACATAACCTGCCCTTCAAACGCGAGGCTTTAGTTCGAATCCAAACGTACCCGTTTCTTTAGGTTGGCTGTGCCAAGAGTGCGTCCAGCTTCACTATTTCAAGCGACTGAGTCCGGCGCACAGAGGACTCGAGCCCGACATAAGCTGATATAGTATTTAATTGTCTATACTGCCAGTGAGTTCGATGTTAAAGTTTTACTACCTAGGATACGCAGACGCATGACGGTGTCACAAGCTATACATAGCTTGCTAGACAGAGCATATTATGGCTGTTATGCTTCAAAGCCCAGTCAGGTTAGCGCTCAGGCTAGCGCTCAGGCTAGTTCAGTTGGCCTTCTTCAAAGTATATCAGGGCCGCGTGGTCTCATAAACAGTTTTACAGCCACTGCACGAACGTCGAACGCCGACAATTGAAATGGCGGAGGGGTGGGTCGGCGGCTGGCGAAAGTGCCCGGCGGACAAGCGGGTAGGGGGTCCGGCGGCGGCGGCGGCAGCCGGGTAAAGTACCCCGGGTAGACCCGCCCGCACATACCAAGACAATTTTCAATATATTGTGGTAGATTTAGGCTACTTGACATACGTATGAAATACCAACAGTGAATATGCGCTGGTTCCGTACCAAAACAGGCCGTATTCTGCGTTATAAGCGCAGTTTTTAGGTTTTTTTGTTCTCAATTACGGGGGGGTCAGCCTGGCGGCTGGCGTGAAAAGTTTCGCAAAATTCTGGGGGTCGGGGGTGTGGCGGCCGGCGAATTGTCGGCGTTCGTGCGGTCACTGTCAAAGTGTTGTGAGATCACGCCCAGGACAACACTATCCCAGCTGATATAAAATTCATGTCATACTTTATGCCTCATTTAAGCATTTCGCAACCAATTTAGCATTGGTTGCTCATGTACTATGCCTCGTCACCGAATGAGGCCATTCGGTGTCAATCGGACGTTGATCAAAGAAAGCTGCATGCAAATCTGTTCCAGCCATGCGCTGACGTGAATTGAATTTCGGGCAAGCTAAGAATTAGCTTTGCAAACTGCAATAATAAATTGAAAACGTACTTACAGCTTTGCGGTCATGAGGCTCAGTGCCAGGCAGCTGGGCGCGCCCGCTCGATCCGTCGTGTGTCACACGTTGTCTAATGGCACGTTGTCTGATGGCACGAATGAATGTCGTATTGAATGATGCTTACTGTCACCTTACTGTCATTACTGTTCCGAATGGTAGGTCAGTTTGGCAGCCCTGGCAGCAATGATCCTACTATCCTAGGCAATCATCCATTTCGGAATTTCGACGCAGCCGGCGCGCGCTCGCGGGCGTACGTCGAATTGAATGATGTTCACACAAAACGAATTCAGGCCCTAAAGGCTTGCACTGAGGGCGTTAGTCGGTACCCGCATCTGCAGACGACAAGACGATCAATAAGCTGCGCCCGCCAACATATTAGGACAAAAAACTCCAGAACCATGCATGCCTAAATTTTGTAGATTTTGAGTCCACCACGGCGTCGGACCGAGTGTCCCTCGAATTTTTCGTTCGACATGGAGTTTTTATTTTGTCGGCTGGGAGCCGACTGTTCTCCGTTCAGTCGGCTGGACCTGTGAACCGGTCGGCTTGTGTCAGCCAAACCCCTAAGATATACCTCGATTTTGTTCGGCTTTTCGGCCGACGCCCCTCGGTTGAGTCGGCCGGGTGGCAATTCCGTCGGCTGACGTTTGCCTGGTGTGACGAACACTGCCTCGAAAGTGTCCCATCGAATCTGATTGGTTGGATCGGCGGCCCGGGGTACCGGTACCGGGGGTACCGGTACCGGTCCGCCCGCAACGGCGCGACTGTTAAACGCCGAGTCTGCGGCTCAGACACTGCACGAGTGGTAGCTAGCTAGGTCACTTGGCTGGTCCTGAAAATTCGTACATACGCGACTGTCTAAGACCATAAGCAGCCGCACTCAGTGCACTCCGAGTCCCGAAGTACCGTACCAGCGTTTAATTTCGTCAACAAATAAATAATTATTTGGCCTGGCGAAAATTTCAAAAAATATATTTCAGGCGGTAATGAATCGATAAGCGAAAGGTCATTTTGAAGTGGTACCCCCCCTGATTATTTGTAGAGGGTTTTCGGCAGGAGCGCTGGGTACCCCCCCCATACCTACGGCCCAAGTCGAACTGGACCCTCGGGCCCCCCTCCCATACAAATCTTTTGCTTTGTGTCTTGAAGAAGCCAAAATTGGATATTTGAGTCGCTTATGCGGGCATACAAAGGCATTTTCATTGCTTATCTGAGTTAAAATTTCAGAAATTGGTCATTTTTAAGCAATCAACACAAGGACTTTTTGATGAATACTGGTCATATACGCCATTTGAAGCCTCATTTAGCCTCCTAATCACATGAAAATAGGGACCCAGCTCCGTGCTTCCCCCCCTTGAGCCAACTTGAAGGCCCAGCTCGCAACGCTTCCCCCCCATCAAGCCCGGCCGTGAGCAAAGCGTAGTTGTCCCCCCCGCCCCATAGGGGCCCCAAGCTGCGCTTCGCGACTCGGAGCCCTGGGCTCCCCCCCCTCACAAATAATTAGGGGGGGTACCACTTCAAAATGACCTTCCCCTTAAAACGCGGTAGGTTCTAGCAGGTAACATTGGGTCTGACGAACTCCTGAAACGGTTCATAATTAATCATTTGGCGTCGAACCTGACGAAATCAAACGCTGGTACGGTACCTAGCTGACTGAAGTTCAGATAATATCCCGTCGAGTCAAAAGTATGAGCTGTCAAACATCGAAATTCGCCGTTTCCGGCGAGAAAATTGAAACTCTAGTCCGTACGACCAAGGTATGATTCCGAATAAATAAATATTTATTTGCATTCGGAAAGTTGGAAATTCCGGATAAGCAGTCGGATTCTGCTTTTTCGGAAACCGAAAATATTTGTTAAATCCCGTTCGGAAAGTGATTGCAAAGGCCCTGTAACTAAAAGGTACGTACCGGCACACTTTAAAAGCCTCAAAAATATGGGTACCGGGGTACCCTTAGGCGATTCGGATTTAGGGTCGGAAAGTGGAAAATAATACATGAGTTGGGCTCGCATTCGCTAGAATAATTGCTTTTTTTGAGCATTCGGAATCATACCTTGGTCGTACGGTATACCGGCTGGTCAAATTCGAGTCGTGAGCAGCCTATAGACTCCGGCGATACTGGCGACATCTGTGTTCACTTAAGTATGCGCCCGGGGCAAAAGCAAACTAAAATGATTTAACACGCTCCGCACCCGTACCCACCCTAACCCCCAAACCAACCCTACCCGTCCCCGGGACCTATACTTCAGTGAACACAAATGTCGCCAGTTTGAAACGCGACATGACTTTTGGGGCTTGCGTTACTGAGTCGGCCCGACCTGCTGACGTGGGTTCGGCCAATCAGATTGCCCGATACAGGGCCGAATGGTGGACTCAAAATTAAAGCCCACTGGCTGCACCTTCAAAAGTGTACTTTAATGCATTGAAGGCGGCCGCGTCTAGCTAGAACTTATCATACCTTATAGAATAGTGTTCAACGCCGCATCGGGCATGGTGGATTGATTCGAAGTATGTGATCCCAGAGTTCGACGGACAGTGACATGGTCACCGTCATGCCGGCCATGGGCATGCAGGACAGCAATGATCCGACATTGTCGGAGATATCCGAAAACCATGCGCTTGGACCAGACCGGACCGGACTGGATACTATGATAATCAAGTTCATGACCGTCGTGTTCATGATGGAAGGACGATCACTCGGTTCAAGTGCACGGCACATGAAAATGATCTAGGCAGTGTCCCGCTCAGCACCAGATATGATCCATTCATCCGCAGCATTCAAGTTGTATGCGGTGGCGCGGCGCGCACTGCTGGCCGCTATCATGACCTGGTTGAGCGTAAAGCCATATCAATTAGACCCACGCCAGTTGGGGGCGGGCCACACTGATGCGGAGCTGCTGTGGATTGACGTCTGCTTGCCGGTGGTTCAATCGCTTGATTGTCAACCGAGCCTCGATTCAAACGTCGAATGTTTCACTTCGAAAAAGCCAACCGCTACATCGGACTGTATAAAAGAATCTAAAACAAACCGGAATAGTTCGGAACTTTCAGCGAGTTTAGGAAGCGAAAAAATCCACGAACTGGCAAAATCTGAGGGTTAGTCGCCAGCAACGCTAGGTGCTTCAGCAGACTCGGCACCCAACTCGTCTGCTTCTTTTTGATTTTGAACTGCTGCTTGATACTCTTCTGTTTCCTTGTAGTCTGCTGCACCCCCGTTATACGAGGCGACTGCAACCGCTCCCCCAAGAGCCTGCAAGGTACACTACTTGCAACGCATCAGTGAATTGCTCAACTCATCAACTGTCACCTGATTGCGTGTGACGACAAAATTGTAAATCCAAGGAAGCAAAAGCAAAGGAGTTTCACTTTCAGCAAAGCTGGTCAGCAGATTGCTCGCACTGAGAACAGAAACCCAGACTGTTTCTAAGAGGTTAGCAAAGAGCCAGGTTCAATAGCGACTCCGACCTCATCATCAAACGCGACGGATCCCTTGACCAAAAGCCTGCTAACAAATGTGATTTCGTGATACCGACTTGCAAAGCGCACCCCTGTAATTCAAGTGGTTCTCATCCTCCCGAAAAGAATGAAAACCAGTGTCAGGGCCAACTAATATATGATCTCCCAAGAGATTCAAACAGATCGATATTGCGGAAAGGCAACTCGGAGGCTGCAACTTTATTGCAAGCGGGAACCAGACAATAACAACAGCCAATCAATCGTTTAGGGGAGCTCAAGCTGAAAGGGTTTTGCATAGACTTGGGAGATGCGCTCAGAATCTGGCATCTCCACTTTAGAATCGTACATCATAAGGAGCAGACGAGTGAGACAGCTCCCGATCCTGACGTACTCATAAGGACTTGCTGCTTAGGGTGCTCTGAACACTCTACATAGGCGGTGACTAGAAGAGGGGCATCTTTGTTTCAAGATGACCCAACAGCAAGTAAGTTTGCAGGCCCAAAGGCAGACGTGCTCACAAATACGCGACGAGGGTGCTTCATTTCAAATGTGCTCCAGTTGCTCTAGGCTACCTAAGATCTGCTGAACATGAAGCACCACCAAATGGAAGAAAGTGATAAAGCTCCTTCGCCGTGGTTCGATGAATATGCTTCTAGAGCATCTCACACGTTTCATGCGTTGAACTCCACAAAGGTAGACAAAAAGCCTCAGGGAACAAAGGAGCGCAAAGTCCAACACAAACTGCATTCTCGCCCACCAGTAAAACGAGTCAAAACATTCAAGGGGCAAGCCTGTGTTTGACTGTGAAAAGTGCCAGGCACCCTAAGGGACATATGTAGAAAACGCTCAGGACACAGGTTCAATGTGGCCGCCTCCCTTTGGTAGTAAAGCGAGTTGCAATGCAGACTCTGCCCAGAAGAAAGGAGCAAGCCTTATCCGCAACCACAGCAGAATGAGAAAGTCTCCGGGCATGGTGGCACATGGTGAATATTGAGTGTTGCCCAATCGGACAATTGGATGATATTAAGGATTGTGCCCCGGTGCTCATATTCTCCAAAGCCCTTCTATCGATCCCTTTGATGCATTTTGGAAGTAGAATCTGACGCGGCCGGGATAGAGAGAGATTGCCAGGATTGTTTCTCCTTATAAAATCGTACTGAAAAGCCTCGAACAGCGAAAACAGTTCCCTCAAACGGCACTGCTTCACGCATCCCAAGCAGACGCATCCCAAGCAGACACTGTGCAGGGAATTGGCTTGATTGCGAAAGGCGGAGCTTGGATCGAGAATACTAAGCGAGAAGAATCTCAAGGACGTAGAGTACACCACAGAAGGCTGGAGGAGTCAATCTGGCACCAGTGTTTGACTTACCAAACGAAACAACAGATAAGAAAATTGGAGCAATTGTGCAACGGAGCAACGTTTCAGGAACCCAACAAAATTTAGGCTTGGGCCATGATTCTCTCTAACGACCAGCAACACACCCCAATTTTGCAAACTCCAACAACTGTGATGAATCTTCCATGCGCAATGCTGTGGCAATGCTGTGGATCTCAGAATTGGTGGTTTTCACTCTGGATGAGGCACAGGTGACCTGAGCAGAATGACGAACCCATAAAGGAATTGTGCCGGCATGCTTTTCAGAAGTGCAATGCTCACAACTTGCTCAAAATTGATTCATTGCAGCCACCAATTTCCTCTGTCGCCCCCTTCGCCTGCTTACGCAACTACCATGAGCTCATTGTACTTTGCACGACACCATTCTTGTCACCTTCACCCTCTCCTGCCTCCCGTAAGCAAACTTTATGCAAACCGCACGGAGACGAGTAAGACCCTTACCGCAAAAATCAGAGCAAACAACGGCATCCACTGCACAAACGTGCCCAGGAGGTTCCACCGCTCCCCCTCCCAAAACCCCGGCTCGTCCAACCAAGGCCTCTCCAGTCCATCACTGTAGTCCTCCTTTTTCCACTTGTCCGGCGTGTCTTCCTCCTTCACATTCAAGTCCGGGCCTATCTCTGTTTTCCTAATCTGCCGCCTCCGTGTTGGACGCGTTGCGCCCGCAACGTGAGAGTCTCTCCGCCTGGAAGGCTTGGGACTTTGAAAACGCGAAACACTAAAAAGACTGAGGCCCACTTGAACGTCCGGGATTGGGCTGAGCCCCACAGAATTGGGCCTGTTCTGGGAAGATTCACAACCATGTGTAATTTGTGATACGGCACACGGCGACACCGCCTGCGAGGCTGCGCAATACGCCATGCTCATGTTAGCAAATGCTGGCTGTTCGTGAAACCTACGGGGCCAAGGAGTCACTTTGGAATCCAGTACTGAGGGAGAGCAGCTGCAGCCACACCAGTATCTTGCGGAAAGGCCGTCCCTAGCTGCGCGTATACACGGGGGTATTGAGGCAATGAGGCCCTAGCTGCGCGTATACACGGGGGTATTGAGGCAATGAGGGGCGGTTAATTGGGTTCACCATCTGATGAACAGCATAAATTTTACGGCCCAGATTCCTCGCGCGTGCCAAGCGGCGTATCGACCGGCCTCGATAGCGGCCGGCACGTCTATCCGGAGGAAAGAACCGTCAATGTGCCGGTAAGTTGGACCATGTACCGTAGAGGAATCTCGGGCCGGGACCCCCTGCTGGATGTGGACCGCGGAAGTGGATCGGTTGGGTGCCGAGAGGTGTCGACTTAGGGCCCGGGGCGATCGACGAGGTTAACCATCCGCGACAAAACCCGTCGGACCGGCCCGTGCATCTGTGTCCGGAAACGAGTAGACTGGAAAAGGGCTCGGAATGATCGAAGCGTTTATTTAAGGAGAAGTCGCCCTGCCGCTGTGATATAACCTCCACTAACCAGCAAGTAGCCCGGCCACCATCTAGAATCTTGAGGAGCTCGGAAAAGATGCAACAAACTCCAGGATCTAGTGTGGCCCGGGTGAACGATCCTAGCACCCCGACCTACGACTTGCACCCATCGAGTCAGAGTCAAGTCACACGCGGCAACTTTATCGTAGATCTGCAAGCAATTCAGACCATTCCCGCCGACTCACTAGCCACAAAATGCCAGGCTCTGCAGTCAGACACTCCTGAAAAAGCATCAAGAGAGTTACCAGCTTGCATGTCGTAAAAACCACCCACTGAGGGGTTTCGCAATCAGCGCACCCGGTTCGTTAGCCAAAGGTCAGAGAAAGCGCAAGCCTATCTGCCCGGAGTGCGTGAAGCGATACTACGGGCCCGTTACCCAGTGTGCTAACAAACTCACAATCACCGTAGCAAGGAGAAGCCGGGAATCCGTGGGTGTAGCTGAGATCTGGTTCCAGCGCCAGACGCAAGAAGAAGCATGGAGCCAACTGAAGGAGCTTTCGGGGGAAGAGGTTGGCAATCTGGAAGAGAAGGCAGAAGAGGATCGACTTGCCTTCAGTGGGCACCGCAAGAGTACTGCGGCACAGGAAGCACTGAACAAGGGGCGGAAAGCGGGGGAAATACCAAGATCCAGTGCACAAGCGGTGGTAAGCCCCAACTATGAATCGTCAAACCCTAGAAATGCCTCTGCTCGTGCATCTGTGTGCTATCGAGTGCTTCTTTGCAAGCCTACATACGGTCCATACTACAGCAGTGAGGCATTCAGCAATCTGTCCAAGTGTCCAAGGATATCACCGGCTTCTTATCATCGGCCGCCGCTGGACGTCATCAAGAGTCTGAATGTCAACAGGATGTGAGTATGTGAACGTCCACCAGGTGTGAACAATATGGACCCAGTTTTCCATGCGGCTGACTGAATTGTTAGATAATGGGCTGATGAATCTAACTTGATTTTGGAGCATTTGGAGCATTTGGACAGGTGTTCATCTACCACACACCGAGCCAATAGTTGGTGTAGTATGTCTGACTGCAATCCTAAAACATATGCAGGGGCAAACCGACACAGAGGCTGCAGAAATGTTCGGCGCCGGGAGTCAGCGGACCATCGTCGACCAAGCTATAATGTATCTCGATGGCGTTCGGTTGGGCG